CAAATGTATTATATATACTTTGACGTTATTTCGTTAAGTATGATACACTTACGTTATTTCGTTAAGGATGATTCACTTACGTTAAGAATTTCGCGTAATAAACGTAACTTACGGTAAGAAAAAACATTTCCTTACCGTCCTACGTTATCTTTTCTCTTTCCTTTACTTCTACCGTCTTCTGTTCTGGCGCAGCTGATACAAGAAGCATTTTAAATGTAAAATGTATCTTTTTTGACCAAAGTTTAAACATTTACATTTGTTGCTACAGCCCTATCAACGTTTGACAGAAGATTAAAAAGACGATAATGGTTCATATAAGAGGGTGAGGGTAGATCTGGTTATTTGATACCACAGCCCGCGCTTGATGCTCTGCTGTATACGTTTTATACAGAATCACAGCACTTTCGAATATCTGATGTATATGTAACTGGCATATTACTGCACATTGAGTAAAAAGTAAAGAAAAACGTTTTCAATAAATTCTGAGTTGTGGTAAACCTCATATGGAAATTTCGGGAGAGTTAATGATAGGCTCTGGTACCACTGGGCATATTTTGGACCGAGAGAATTCACGTGGCTAAGGTTTCCTAGTTTACCCGGCCTTGTACAGTAATAGTGACGACACTTTGGACAATCCACCCATGAGAAAGAGTAAGGTATTTCTGTCAAATTTCTGGGTTAAGAAACGATTCATTTTCAAAACACAACGTTCCTGCCTAGCTATCGAACAACTGGAGTACGAAAAGCGGCAATGACTTGAGGTTTTTCCGTTCCATAGCCAAGACTTTAGAGTATCTTTTTATAAGCAACATACGTTTAAAATTATTTCTTATACATAGCTTTTCTAAGGTACTCTGGAAAATTGTTTGATAACCCGAAAATGTAACATGAAAAAAACGTCATATTTTGCTCTAAGTAGATAAACCAAACTGTCCTCTTCAAAAGGGAACTTTTTAATCAGGAATGGTACCGAATTTCGGGGAAGCCGCATAACTGATATTTCTGTAGGTATGGTAATCTCGAAAATGAAGTACGACATAGGTTATCGGGCACGCTGAGTCCGTGACAATGTTGGTTTTTGGAAAGAAGTTCAAAAAATCTAGTAAAAACCTATATTAGGTGAAATAACTCATTTTTTCCTGTTTTCGCGTAAAATCAGAAAATCGTAACTCAGTCAAAATCGGTTAGTGCTCCCACACACTATCAAAATGCACTCTGTTTCATTTGTTCAGTATGATTTCCTACTTAAGAGTGGGAAAAAACATCATTTTACTTGAATTAGAGAGAAGAACTGTATCTACTTATCGCAAAGGTTTTCCGAAACAAGATTTGCGAATTGACCTCGAAAGTGGTTCAGCATGTTAAAGAATGTTGTCTTTAATCTATTAATTAGCGAGGTTGGGTTAATTATCAATTTCACGAAAAATGTTATAAGACGTGTCTCTACTACGTATAGTAAAAAAGATAACCGTAGTATAGCACAAACAAAATGAAAAACCGTAGCGCACTTGCGGCGTTACGCTGACAAGCTGTATTAATCCTCCATAACCTTCACAAAGAAGCATTCCAAACCACGGCTGTCATTTTATTCTTAAGTTGACAAAATAGCTTCAGTTGCTCGTTTAATAGTTTGCCAGTATCTATTATACTGCACGAACACGTCACCCTCCATACCGAAATGAGATTTTGTAACACAAGCGATCGATTGATTATAGTTGCTGAAAAAATTTTCAGTTGCCTGATTCACTTGTTTGATAGTTTAACATTGGTTCACGAGATATATGACAATATTCTGGTAACAAAGTTATATATAATGGTGATCTGAAGGTAATATCATACCAGTTCGTTCCACAGTACGATGTAGCAGTGCACCGGTTCAACGTGACAGAAGAAAAAATATTCACTTGGTTAGTCACATCTGATTAATCAATTTTCAAAAATTCATCAGAAACATCTGTTAGAGGATTGTATAGCAGAAATAGCGATCATTAGTTCCTCAAGCTGGTACTCCTATGTATGCTTCATTAGCGTCGGCTCATTTTCAACATTTTTCTAGACATTCAATCTTCGACTGCAGAGAACGAATCTGAATATAATCAAAAATATGTAGTTTCTCGGTTTTCGAAACGTTTTTTTCATGTCGAAAAAACAAGGAAACTCGGACAACCTCAAAACTTGAAAATGATGTTCCAAAAAGTTTGTTTTTTCAATTTTGGTTTTTGAACAGAACGTTCAAATTATTTTTTCTTATTTAGTGTTGAAAACTGAGTTAAAAAATAATATTAGATCCATTTCGGAGGTAAACGCCTATCCACCACGGACATTCGAAAGGACCAATGCGAAATAGAGTTGAGTCATTTTGTAGACCTATCTAGTTTTTTGGGTTAAGAAATGAAGCCGTCATTTGCATCTCAGCAGACTCTCTGAAAACCCAGCTTTAAAAGTACTCTTCGTCTTTTTTTTAAATATTGCTTCCTTGCTGCAAGTCGGTTGAGGAGTATCGCTTAATTTATCTTCTCGTGAATGAGAAGACATTTTAGTCATAATCGAGTTCCTTGTATGGTGCTTTCGATAACTGGATGTCATTTGCGCTCAAATTTATCGATACCGTCATGAATGCTTTAATAGGGAAAGGTCAGAGAGAAAAGAAGAAATTTATCATTTGGGCTTGAAAAGAAACTCAATGAGAACTGGATAAAAGTGGTATAAAAAGACATTGTTCGTGAACATTTTTCCAGTTTTCAGACAATCAAAAGCAGTGAAAGATTCAAAATAATGATTGGGCAGTCGAATTATTTTGTTCAGAAAAACGTTATACAAAATCAACTTTTAGATTTCGATAGCTAAACAAATACCAGTGCAGTATTTTGTCGGTCTCACTATTCAACATTAATCAGATGGCGATTTTTTTGTTCGACTCGTTTATTTGATAATCTGAAATTGGATGGTTAAATTAATTTCTTTTCGGTTTCCGGACTCCTGGAGGAAGTGTGGCAATCACAGAAATCTCAGGTGGTCTTAATCCATTGCCGATAAAACTGGATGAACGGGAAGGATTCGCCGAGGGAAGATTGCAAAGATAATCGTCGATCTGTACGGGGTGCAAACGTGGAATACAGTCCTCGTTCTGTACATTTCTTCCGAAGCGGGGCAAGTCGGAGCGCGTCGATGAATATTCACCTGCCGCTGAAAGATTTCGAGGAATATTGCTCAGTTTATCTTCTGGTGAACGAGAAGACATTTTAATCATAATCGGGTTCCTTGTATGGTGCTTTTGATAACTGGATGTCATTTGCGCTCGAATTTCATCGATACTGCCTGAAATCGGGCAGTCTGCCTCTGGTTCTCCTAGCCAGTCTGCCAAAGAGAAGCCATCTGAGGAACCATAATTAATAAAATGACATTTTACACCCAGTTTTTCGTTTAGATTATGAATAATCGCCTGGTACGCTTGATCATTCTTTCTAGAACTTGTATCCAAGCCATCGGAAAACACATAAATATCGATATAGAGAAATGGTTGCTGCTCGAGGAAGTGGTAGACTTCTTTCAAGGCAGAGTATAAATGGGTGTTGGTCGAACGTGCACTCAGTTCGATTCGATCAATGCGAGCCAAGTTTGATTCATCAGCGATCTCAAAAGCTTTGCATGATGGAATCAGAGATGGTTGTATAAGTTTCTCATCGAATGTGGTCAGTACAGCTTGATCCGATGGGCCGGCGGACTCTGCAATCTCTTTTAGTAACTGCTTTATCGCTTCCTTTGTCTGAACGATCCTTGGTACCGCTGAGGTCTTTTCACTTGTCATCGTGGATCGAAGATAAGATTTCATGGAAGCTGTTATATCGACGAGAATGTAAGTGTAGCGGGCACCAGTGAAATTCTGACGAAATAAAGTAACTGCATTTGAGTCGAATATGTAATCGTTACACGTTTTTAGACACTTGAAGCACTGGAATTCAGGCACCCTTGAGTCTTCTCCTTTTAATTTAGCTTCGGAATGTTTTTGCTGATCGGCAATTGATACTAGTTCATTTAAAGTACTTTGAGTAATGGGATGGCAACAGGGATATAGGCGGTAGAAGCTCCGTTCTGAATAATAAAACAGAACTTGCAAGCATATACACTGGATATTACAATGAATATTAATACCTGCAGGATTTTGCGAATGAGCAGAATCAGCGTTCGCAGTCGCCATCGTTCCATGAGGATGACACTAAAAGGAAGCATGAGTAAGGTATTCATCGGATGAAATACTGTATGCACGAAGCAGCAGTAAATAACAAGGATTGAAACAGAATACGTTTTCGACCGCTCGGACCGACCTGCCTGTCGTTTCTCTTAGTAGGAATTCTACTTAAGTCTTATTTAAGCCTCCAGTCTTATTTTTTATAGAAATGCGGATTTCTAAGAAACTTTGTAAGGATTTTTCGAACTTCTTCTGTTAAGCACCAGAAATCAGCAAATGAGAAATTCAAAAATCGGGCTTTGTCAACTTCTAGATATAGATGTATACTGCAAAACAAAACCAGTCCGAGCTCTCTATCATTTACTTTATTTGGTGTATTTGTCAAGAGGATGCAGCGGATTCTATAAGAGTTCATGGAACTCCATAAGATCTTGGAATTGCACAGTCGAGTGGAAGTGCGCAGAACCTTATGGAATCCTACGGTGGTTCCATGTAGAGCCATGAAATCCCATCTCATAGTATGGATCTAATAAAATGTAACGCCTGATCGTTTATGAGACTAGAGCTTTAGCAATAGTTGCACCTTCGTAGGGCAACAATGGTTCTGGAACTCTATGCAATTTTACAAAATTCTGTTTGGCTTCACGGGACTCTAGAAGACTTTGGGTTTAGGGATTCCATAGATTCTCATAGACTTCCAAATCCAAAATTCCTTGATTTTCTCTTGATATACATGCATAGTAGTACCACATAATGATGCTGTGATACTAGAAAGATAAGAGAATGAGAGAACACTCTAATGGCGTAGGCGAGATAGAAGATCATAGAAGTGTAATCTGTGCAAAAGCACAAAACGTAGATGTACGTGTCCCGTAACCAAAGGGTTAAAACTGAGTGTCTCTTCCAAGATCTATCTCAGATTCTATAAGATTGTTCGTCAGATCTCACCACAATTTGTTATACTTCCTTGCGTGATAGATCTCAAATGATAAGAAGATATTATGTACTCATCGGAAACCGGGATAGGACTACTTGGCCCAATCAGGAATAGCGCTTTTTGACATTGAAAAACCGAAAGTAGGCTAAGTGTCATCGAATATTGAAAAAAAATAGAACATTGCATATTCATACCTATAGTAGTCCCTGTTGCCTTGTTCTACTAGCATAGTAGGTAGTAGCGACTCTCTTGAAGCAATCTCTGCGGTCTTTTTCCATCATATGGAGCTGAGAGAAAAATTCTTCTGTAGTTTGACAAAAGTCTTTCGAACAAAAACAGATTCTGCCAACAACTGTTAAGCTCCAGCGAGAAAGCCGTAAGAATGATGTTCGTTCACTACTTCATATCCATCTAACTGAAAAGAATAACAAGAGGCTAGAATACATCTAACTATCATCTCATCAGCCCGTGGTTTAAGGGGACCGGAGTATGGACACCCCCATATCGCCCCTCATTTTTTGTTATCAAGCAGATAACTAATTGGCAAACATCTGCAGAAAGTTTCAGATTTTTATTATTGGAGAACGAAGTTACAGAATTTACAAGTTCCCGACCAGCTAGCTATATGGGGGCCGAGGAGGGCGATGGAGTGGATAAACCGTGATTTTTTTATATGTTGTAGAGCTCATCGAGGTAAGGTGCCGCTAATTCAAAAGGTCCACGCCAAAAATGAATCCTATCGAATTATACGTGGTTAAATAGAGCTCGTCGAGTTGATCACGAATATGCCCTTTAAAAAGTTTGAAAGTGAAATGTACGG